CCCTAGCGGCGCCCCCACCACCCCTGCCCGGCGGCCTCCCCTCAGCGCGGCGCCCGGTGGGCACCGGAGACCCGCGGCCGCCACGCCCCGGCCCGGCGGAGGCGCCGGGAAGGGCCGCGGGCACTTTAAAAGCTCCACCTCGCAGCTGCCGCCTCTCCCGCTCCCCTCAGCTCCCCTCCCCCGGGGGCGGCGGCGGCGATGTCCGTGGGTGCCTGTGACCGCAAGCACCGCCCGCGGAGGGCAGCTTGCGGCTCCGGCGGGGGCGGAGACCGGGACCTCGGTCCTGCTCGGGGGCTTGGCCGCCGGCGGAGCGGCCGCCCCACGCCTAGTGACACTCAGCCACCCGCGGCGCGACACGGTAAAGCGTGGCCGGAGGCAGCGGTGGCCAGTGGGCGAGGTGGGTGGCGCTGAGGGAAGGAGCGGCGCCGGGCGAGGGGACGAGGCCTGTCAGGCGGAGAGAGCCGGGCCGGGGGCGGCAGCTTGCCCGGGTCCCGCAGCCTCCGGCGGCCGCGGGGAGGGAACAACAGGCTGGGAGCGGTTAGCGGGTCAGCAGAGAGGGTAACGGGCAGGCGGCTATAGGGCAGGAGCCGCTTGCTGCCTTTAAAAGTCTCCCTGCAGCTCCAAGTCGCTTTGCTAGTGGACAGTGTGACCCAGTAAAGCCTTCACTGGGAAGGCAGAACCGAGTGGGTGAGTCGTTTGGTTGAAATCTAACTTCTGGGAGTCCGCTCAATTTGAGATTAAACCTTGCATCCTTGTGCCTATGGATGGGGCACGGTGCTGCCTCAGGGCGGTGCGGTGAGCCCTGAGGGATCCGTGCGACAGAGAAATTACCCTGACAGCACAGGATCCCTCTTCTAAGCCTCGCTGTACCTTCACTGCGCTCTGCCAAGCCCCAGGCTCTCTGGAGGCGAGCCAGCACTGTAGAGGTCCTGTGACATCAATGTCACAGCTGATTCCCAGTCAGTGTGGACCTGCCAGTGATCTGCACATAGCCTCTTGAACCATTTTTGTGTGTGTTTGGGTTATTTTCTTTTGCTGTTTTCTCCTGTAAGCCAAAATAGTCAATTAGGATCCCCTGCAGCAAGGCACAAATTACAGTAGTGATAGGGTTGCTATAAACTTCCTTGGTTTCAAACCAGAGTTGGGGAAGAATGATAAAAACGGAATGGCAACACATTTTGCAGCCTTCTCTTTCTGGTTCAAGTACCTGTATAAGAAACAGCCCTGCATTTTAATCCAGTTGCTGCTGCTGACCCATTTTGTGACTTAAAGCTGGTAACTTAAGTGCAATGATTACATATGTATAAAGGAGATGGTAACAACAACAGGTGTTTAGGTGTTCTTTACCTTAAAAAAAAAAAAAAAGTTGATATTTTGGCAAGGTAGGTGCCATAGAAGTGTTAAGTATTATGTGCTGTAGTGTGTGCCTTTAAAAACGATTGAAATGCTGGTAAGGTGAGAACTTGGTAATATGCCTTAAGTCTTTTTGTAGTACAGAGGGGAAAAAAGTCTTTGTAAGGAGTCTGGGCAAGTGTCTTTTCCTCCTCCCTTCCCTCCCCTCATTAGCCTGTCTCTCCACAGGTGTGGTTTCCAGTTTAGCATAGTTACCATAAATCTTCAAATCTTTTAAAGATCAGGTCTGACAGTCTGACTGCACTATGGTGTATTTCCAGTCTTTTGTGGTAGTGCAAAGAGATCATGGCAGGAAACAAAAAAAGACCACCTAGCAGGGAAAAAAGTGTGAAATGTCATTTTTCTTTTATGGTGAAAGTAGTTATGGCAAAGGGTCTAAAGGTGAGGGTAAACAGCAAACTTGATTAATTGGTAAGGTGACACTGGCAGCAGCAAACAGCAGAGAGCAGTTTGAGCTGCGTTTCTGAAGGCACTGCATTACAGAGAAGGGAGATAATAATAAAAATTCCACCATTATAGTGCTTTAGCATATCTCCCCAGGAGTACTAAATTCTGCTGGGACCCACAAACCACATTACTAGAAAGGCATTGACAAAGCAGAGTTTGATGAAGCCAAGTGTGATGCAAAACATAGCTTCTTAAGAGACATCAAAATACTGGACTTAGGACAACTTGATAAAAAGCCTAAGGAGAACTCAGAAATACAATGTTCTGTGAGAATTCAAGGATTTTGATTAAATGGATGAAACAAAGCTATACATGGAAGTACAAGTAGGATTAGCTCAACTTAGTTCAGAGCTCAGCAGCAAAGGAAAGGAGGTATCAGAGAGCTCTGTTTCTGTAGAATAGTCTTACTTGGGAAGCAGTATTGAACTTGTGGGAAAAATCTCTGCTCTTGGTAGTTAATTTCATATTCAGCTTGACATTGACAAGGTAGGAATTCAGAGCTAAAAAGCTTTTACATCTGTAATGTGTCAGTTGCACTGATTAGCCAATACAGAGTAAATATATGCTGTTTTGCTCAGTGGATTGCAATGAAGATCAGCCCCCAAATATAGCTGGTTTTTTCCTCATTATTCCATGTCAAATATTATTAACATTGGGTTAAATAAACTACATCTGGTACAAAGCTTGGTTTTTTTTCATGCAGTCATGTAGGTGATTAGTTTCTTCACGTGCTCCTGACTCCTTGTCTTCACCCTTCCACTCTTCTGAAAGATTGTAGATAATTTTACTAGGGACAGTGCAGGAATCCATGGGACAAAAAGGAAATGTTTGTTCTAAAGCTGAATGCTGCCTTCTCATACTGCCACTCCATCAGGTGAGAGAGATTGAAACAAAGGCAACCAATACTTTTATCTGATTGATCTTTTTAATGGAATATCTATCCAGTTTGTTGAAGATCTTTTTATCAGAGAAGAAATGACAGTTTATTCCTCTGCAGGGCAAGTCCTTCACTTGCCTAAAGAAAACCATAAAAGGTTGTTGAAACTTTGACTTTGCACGTGTCTGTTTATATGCCAAAGATGCATAGTCTATTGCCGGTCAGAAGTCAAACTCTTAAGCAATCTATTTCTGAAATGCTTGATGATACAAATGATACGACCTTGTTGCTGCAGTAATAATTCAAGGTTCTTCTATGAGCACTTCTACCAATGCAGCTAAAATATAACGGATGAGTAATGCGGCTAGTTTAATGAAGTAGTAGCAACTTGAACAATTGGAATTTCCATTACTTGTTTCCTTCCACCTTAATTTAGCATTGACACTAGTGGGTTTTATTTCATTCACTTAATGGCTATGCACTCCCAAGCATGCAGTTGTAGCTTTCCTAAAGTCGGTTCACGACGTGATCTCCTAGCATATGTGAATTGTTTCCGCTAGCGTAACGGCTCTGATGTGGCTGGGGAAGGAGGGCTCTGCTCAGGCACTGAGGAGTTTTCTGGAGGTGGCAGCACTTTCCTCTTCTGTAGAGCCTGCAGAACCTGGTACCCATCCAGCTTCCTCGCAACTGTTCCCATCAGTCAGCTGGGGACAGCTCTGGGGGGGACCTGGTGAGCTCTGGACAACTCTCTGTTATGATATCTGTAGAGAAAATGTCACCCTGCTCCTGGAATATGTTTTTTTTTTTTCTTTAAATGTCACTCCTTACATCAGTGACCTCATCTGACTCAGCATAGCTTCTGTCTGAAGGGAGGGAACTATAAGCAACTCATAGATTTTTAACATGGCTGGAGACTGTAGGGAAGAAGGCACTCCAAAAGAAACAAAATACTCTTATTTGAGCAAACAAAGAATGATTTTTTTGGAACAGTCTAACAGGTAGTTATGTAAAGCAACTAGAACCTAATCTAAACATCACAAGCTTCTGAAAACAAGGGGATTGTCTATTATGTATACACAGTTATTTCATCCTCGGGTTTCCTGGGAGTTTTTTGCTGCGGTTTGTGCTGGTAGCTGTGATGGCACTGTACTTGCTGCACTAATCCAGTTCCTGGGTTTGCTCTGGTGGTTTGACGTGGTGAGAACACCCACATCTCTCACCTTTGAAAACAGGGCAGGGTTGAAGTAGTCATATGGGTGGATCACCAGCTTTCTTCTTTAGAGGCTCCTTGTATTAAAAGTCTGTAGAAAACAAGTGAGACATCCTAGGAGTGTCCCCAGCAAATGAAGCTGTGACTACAGTATGAGTTTCTTTACTGCTTCCATTTCATTATAAGGCACAGAGCCTTCTCCAGGCAGGCAGAGGGAAAACGAACACAGGAGGGAAAGAACTCAGAGAGGCCTGGAAGAAGAAAGCTGTGGAATATTTTTACTCCAAAATGCACCTGGTAGTGATGGTACAGGTACATAAGAGCTGTGGTCTTCCTGTGTTGAAGGGGAACGTTGACCAGGATACTGGCACATCCTCTATGCTTTCTTTTTAAAAGTGCTAAGCTATGCTGAAAGTTCATGCACGCACAGACAGAAACCAAAGGAGTAGAAACAAGTGACCTCAGTTTAACATTTCATTCAAATGACAGTGCCCCTAATGAGATTACCGCTTTAGTTTCCTAGCGCACCACCCGGCCTCAAAGATCTCGCAGACACTTTCAGATGTCCTAAACTGATAAGCAAATGGCATGTTACACATGTGAAAGTAGGATAGAAGCACATAGTGCTTGATTAAGCTGCATAGCAGCATCCCTGCTCCTTAGTGCTTAGTTCTGTTCAGCTTGATGTCTGTGCAATTTTATTCTGTTCTGGGTTCTGCTCCCCCGCACTTTTTTTTCTTTTATTTTTGAACATATGACTATCTATGTATAGGAAGGTAACATGCACAGGAGTCACAGTCCATAAGAACATGACCTCTCTTTTAATACTTTTTTCTGTGATACTGTCTCTGCTAGTGAAGCAATGATTTGCCATGTTTATCTTACTCCTGGTTTTATTCCATTATCCTGAAGCCTTGAAATGGAGCCAAGAAAGGACACTTAAAAAACAACAGTCAATTCCTAGAAAAATGAAAGGAATAGTGCAATGGGAATTTACCTTCAGTCTTTCATGGGTACATTTTTAAAAATAAAGAAATAAAAATATCCAGTAGCAGTGTTTAGAAAGAGACCTACTGGATAAACCATCAGGCCTGAAAACTCTGCTGTTTGAAGTGCAACAAGTTAGTTTTGTCTCCCGTGAAAGTAATCAGCCAAAATCACTGGTTGTGGCCTCATGCAGGGTAGATTCCAAATGCTGTCAATGTAAATGTACCCTCAAGGTATTTGTGAGACATCAGAAACCTGTTTTCTTTTCAAGCTGTGTGTTGCTCTCTGTGTTGATTTTGGTTCGGGCCAGTTCCACTGGCTGAGTGCAACTTTCACTCAAACCTATGTGAATGACTGTGGTTTAATTTGGACCTCTGACCTAAAAATATGGTTATGTGGTTTAGTCTAGTCTTTATGTGGAGCATAATTATTCCCTTGTACAATTATTTTTTTTTTTTTGCCACTGTGAATACTAAATAAACACTTCTATTGCTTCATGGTTTTGAAAAATTATTGACCGTTTTCTTAGGTAAAGTCTGGGGCCCTGGTGGTGTTTGTTCTCTGCTGTTTCACCACCAGTTTTTCCTGTCACATTTTATGGTACGTGTATGGGCAGAGTGACCTATTATCAGTGTTCAAACTGAGCAACATCACTCTAGTGTGTTATATGGTTTTGTTTGTCTTTTTGATTATCAGCATAAAACCCATGCTTCCCCCCCCCCCTTAATGTAATGGGAATTTCTTTGTTACTGGAGGGTAAAAGTAGGGATGCTGAGGAGATACAGTAAAGTGCTTCTGAAGGTTCTGCACATCTTAATGACTTGAAAGGGGTGAATGTTATTTAATGTTTATAGCTTTATGCTGAGAGCAGAAGCTTTTTGCTTATATCTGTAGTTCTTCTACAGCTTCTTCCCTTTTCCTCTTGTTCTTTGTATTTCAGCTATTCCCAATTCAAGGCAGGAGTGGTATCCCGTGTTACCGAACAAGGGTTATAAAGTTTTACGGAACACCTAACAACTGGAATATAAACTACAAAAAATCAAGGAATGAATTAAAGAAGCAGTTAGGTAGCTATTTGTATTCTTAGCCTTCTGCTTAGGTGTCATGCCTTTGGAATACTTGTAACAAAATAATGAGATAATACTGAAACTATGCTTTTGTCGTAGGAATTAAATGCTGATTAGAAATAACCAATAATAACTCTATATGCGTTCAAAGAGAACAAATTGTAATTTTCCCTTGAGAAAGGAAGGGCTATGGAACCCAGAGCCAAACAAGAGGCTGCAGGATTTTTCTGTGATGCTAAGTGCATGTAGTATGTACCTTTTTCAGTTTAACAAACCAACACAGAAGAAGGTAAACACTCTTTCTGGAGTTTTTCGTGCTACATATGGAAAGATCTATGTAAAAAAAACCAACTTGTTTGTAGTAGATTATATATCACAGTGCAATAAATGTGTTCTGAAGCAGAAGTTACAAATGGCTATGCACTTGTTAACAGATTAGTGAAGAGATTTTGGTGTTACGGGATTTTGTTTGCTTGTTTTATTACAAAATATGTTTTGCCTATAAAGTAACTGAGCATGAAGAGGGGCTTGAGAAGCCTAGAAAGATCTGTCCCCTTCCCTGGGGGCTATATTAGACCTCTGAGTCATGAAGTCTTTGCATAGTAGGTGTCTGGTTGCAAACCTTTTATGGGCCCTACTCAGCTGGGATATCAGCATCTGCATTATAGCTCCCATCTATTCTTAGGTGATATCCCAGCAGGACTGAACAGGCAAGGCAGAAAGAGAATTGCTTTCATTGTGTAAAACTTCCCTTTTCTCATTATTTTTTTTTTTCACACTTTCTCTGTCTGCCCCATCCTTCTGTTCTGTAGTGTCGCCTTGTTGCCTTGTGAAAGAGGTACAAAATGGCTTACAGCGTGACTCTGAATGGACCTGGACCATGGGGTTTCCGACTGCAAGGGGGCAAGGACTTCAACATGCCCTTGACCATCTCAAGAGTAAGTGAGCAGAAAAACTTTATTGAGCTTTGAAAATAGCAGTGAACTAGTCATACGTGCACTCTGACTTGGCCTAGCAAAATAGAGGATCTTTGCAGGTAGGTCTGAAAAAAGAGAGTATAATGTGGACTCTAAATTATACCAGTTCAAGGTATGCAACCTGACATTGATGGTGCCTTAGGAAGACAGTACTGGTTAGTATATTTTTAAGAATGACAATAACATCTCTTTTAATCTTCCAGTTCTATTTTGTACAGTGTTGTCTCTTTCTCTGCTGATAGGGGCCTCACTGGTGCTCTCTGTTAGAGAGGAAAGGGAATAGAACAACAATAGGAATATAAAATTATATTTCTATAAAATAAATGTGTAACTACTTCTAAATTCACAAAGTTTAGGTGTTAAGACTGGACAAAGACAGGGATACATGTCCTCTTTTGAGGGGGAGCAATAATGGTATGAAAACTAGACATGTCAAGCAGAAGACTCAATAGTGCTTAAAATATGGCTTTAAATTATGCAGAAGCTGTCCATTTGCAGCTGACAAACAGCATGTGATTTAATAATTAATTACCTGGTGTATCTGTCAATTGGAAATTAGCCCATGTATTTCCTAGCCATCTTTTTGGAATTTTTTTTTTCTTAAAAGCAATATTTTAAGATATTGCGGTAGAGTGCTCTTATTACCTGAATTAGCTCAGTTTCTTGAAAGTTTTTAACATTGAATGGTTTTCAGGAAATTTGTGTTTCCCTTACATACACTTCTCTTAAACTAGATAGTTCTGTGTAACTTCTGGTTTGGGAACTCTGCTTTCTACTACTTCTTTCAGCTCCCTCCTCCTCTTTTTTTTTTTCTTTTCCCTTTTTTCTTTCTGACAGTCTCAAATCTGTTCCAGAATGTTCAGATCTTTTTAGAGACATCTTGGTTCCACCAATCACCTGCAGAAGGCTTATTTTGCAGTGCAATGACAAGAGAGGTTACTTATATAACAGTGTTTAAAAGGAATACCAGCATGATTTAATCAGATAAACAAATAGAATGCAAACAAAAGGTCTGCTCCACTGCAAAAAAAACCAAACCACCTACGCTACTTTAAAAACTGGGCTTTTTTCATAATGAAAAAATATGATCTGTTAAGTTTTGAGTACCAAATTGATATCCCTGCAACAATCATGATTCCAAGTCATCAGTGAGCTTCTGAAATCTTAACTATGCTATTTCATATTCATACTGTAAAGCTCTGTATTATTTGATCTCCCTTATTCTTATGCATAATATTCCTTTCACTGAAGATAGAGCCTTATTTACTGTAATACTAAGTCCTGTGATGATGAGAGGATCTTTTCATAACCTCTTTTGCAGAGGTGGCAGAGTAATTGCAAAGAAGGCTGTTCTATCAGTGTCATTAAAAACGAGCAAGCAAAAAAACCCAAAAAAACCTAAACCCTGCCCACAAAAATAAATTCACTTTATAAACTTATACTAATTTCACTGCGGTAAATAGGTTTGGTGTTTCTTTCCTTATTCCACCGAAGGTAAGTACAGAGACATGCCAACATATTTCTGTAGGCATTTTCATTATGCTTTGCAGCCTGCACTGTATGGTGTTGATAATTTTTTTATAAGTAATTCAGTCATACCTAGAAGCTGTTAGTCAAGGGCTGGGACACTTACATTATGTATGTTACAACCAGAAATGAAAAACCAGTTGTTTCCCAAAGAACTCAGTGTCTCAGATTATAATTTCTTAGAGTATACTCAATATGCCCAAAGGCTATATGATTCTCATGGGGCTTTTGAGAGCATATGGTATGCAGGAGTGAATCTGCAATGGCTGGATTCCCAGAGGTGTAGAGGAATTACCTCTTCACACAGCTGGTTGCCTTTCCAGCAGTAGAAGTGTGAGTAAGCACCGTTAAATGGTTTGAACTCTTTCCCAGCGAGGGCCAGTGCTCACTTGGGAGCATTGCTTTGGGATGGGATTGGATTTTGAAGCCTGCCTTAGAGGGGAAAAGCAGGCATGCAAAAATGAATGTAGCCTCTCTCAGAAGGAGCTGGAGTAGGAGTACCTACTGGTTGTGGTATTTTTTTAATTGGAACACAGTATAACACGTGGCTTTTGATGATAATATTCTTAAAGGCTATTTTTTACCATCTTTCACGTAAGTGTATCTCCAAACAGATCGGATATTCCTCTTAATCAGTAATTTGCAGTCATAAGTGAGTTGAGCTGTGAATGTAGCCATAATTGCAATCTTACCATGGGGGAAAAGGGAAGCGGTACTTACATCCTCAACATATTCTTGGTGGGGAGTGGGTGAGGGAAGATGTGTGAGGAAAATCCCCTCTGGGAAAGGGCATGCAGCTCTAAATGTTGCTAGTGGATGCCATACGCTTATCTATGGACTGTGTTTGATCCACAGCTGCCCTGAGATGGGATTAGACTTTCTATGTGCAAGAGGAGTCCTAAACCACAAACACTTCAACTTAGAAGGTCTTATAATTGCTTTTAATACCAGACGTGCTATGGCCCTTTTGCCTAGATATGCGTTGTATCCCTCTCTGCAGGCAGATAGGGTTTACATGTGGACATGCTCATTATACTTGAACTGCCCCCAAGCAATAAGACTGTCTGTGGTGGGCTGCAGAGAACAAAAAGATTCATCCTTTTTCATGGAGACTGTCATGCTGCAAGTCATGCTGTGAGAGAGTTACGTTTGAGCTCCTGAGAAAAATAATGGCAACAGTCTACCACACTGGGACTGTTCATCCCATCTATAGTCTTATGCCTGCATGTTTCCAAGGACCTTCCTGAAAAGGGGAAGCTAGTATTGTTCCAGTGTGACACTAGCCCACACCTAGACATAGAGTGGGGACCCTAGACTTAGGAACTAGTGCTGTGGCTTTGCTGTCGGTTGACCTGCACTCTGTCAGCCAGCCCCATGTGATGGCCACTCAGCTTGCACTTCTCCACCTGAGAAGCAGCAGAGAAAACCAGAAGGTCTTTGAAGTCTACTGACAAAAACACAATACAAGATTGTGGCATTGCTAATGCTTCTGTTCAGGAAAATGCTCTTAAAACCGTGGGCAATGAAGGGAATTATTCAGAGCTGTTTGGCACAACAGTTCAGTTTTAACGGACTCTTTAAAATGCTGAGGCATATTTTCTTCCCTTCACGTATGTTCAGGTGATCAGCTCACTGCTGAATAGTCGGCAGCATATGACACAAGAGTCACAGTCAGTCAGCTGGGTGATAGCTGAAGGTGTGTTCCCCTGAAATGGACTGTTCTGCCTATCTGTTCTTAATCTAAAAATAAGTGACTGACTAACGTATGGGGGTAGGGACAGGAAAAGAAAAGACAAAAACAAGTGGAGAAGAGTTAAGGTCACTCTACAGCTTTCATACGCCTTTAACGATGGCATTAGAAAATAATCTGGAAAGATGTTAAAAATATTTTTTTGCGTCCCCACCCCACAGACCATCCTACCCTGTAGAACAAATTCTGTCGTGAAATGTCATGGGCGGGTAGCAGAGTTAGGAAAACAGTATTGAGAGACTCTTAGTAAAGCTGAGCATCTGTTAGTCCTACTGAAATGAATGAGACTTGCAGCTTGTTGGCAGTGCTGAGAGCTGTCACCAGTGGTGTGATCATGTGCACAAATCTGGTCTTTCCAAATTGACGTGGGCAGCAAAGCAGTTTATTTTCTCCTACTGCTTGCATGAACTGTCTGGAAGCAAGCAGAATTCATTAATTTTATAGACCTAATCCTCTGTAAGAAGGCTTTTAAGCATAGTTAATTATCTAAGTGCTGTGTTGCCATGTTACCTAAGATGGTATGATTGTACATGGATGGACGCAATAGCAGAACCTCTTCATATATTTGTGAATGATTATTGCTGAACAGCAAGCTTTTCTAGTGAGACAGACTGGCTTGCAGGTGATGCAATGAGCTGAAAGGTATGCAAAAATTATCATCATCTGAAGTGGCAGAAATATTATCCAGAACAGTGCAGTAACTCATGACTGGCATATGTACTCTGTGATTATCCATATGGTTTTGTATTTCCTAATAGAGGATTTTTTAATGTTTCCTGTGTACCAAATCAGAAGCCAGACCCTGAGGCCGAAGGAGACAGTATTTAAACAAAACAGAAGTGTTAGAGAACTATTTTGGTTTCGCTCTATTAAGTGAGGAAGAAGCTGAAATGTGGTAATGGCATAAGTACAGTGAGGGGAAATGACAAACACTAATAGGAATAAAATGAAATCAGCCAATGTGTATACTTACTCTGATACAAGAAGCCTAAAACATCTCTTTGGTGGGGAGAGGGAAGCGCCTATTCTAGCATTTCACAGTTCATGTCTTTGGAGGAGCAGGAGACCTTTTCTCACATTTGTTAAGCTCTGTCCTTTTACCAGCATCTTTTCCTGATGACTTCATGTCTCTACTCCATGGCATATATATGTCAATCTCTTACTGTGAGTGCATTTCCTTTAGAGGAGCTGTGGAGAGTATTAATAGCCTGTTGTTGGCCTTATTGCATATGGAGTATCAGGACCTTATGACAGGCGAGTGATGGGTGAAAGGAGGCCCTCTTGGCTGCTTTTCTTCTATTCTTGAAGGCAGGGAAGCCTCAAATCATCTGGGTCAGGCACTATGCATTCTGCAACTGTCATTTGGATGGCCATGTGGTGCTGTACATAAATTGTAATCTGAAGAGTGAGGTGTACGTGTATTGACTGAACTGAAGAACCTTAACAAGTTTCCTTGAAATGCTGATTCAACAATCGCCTGTTAAGTATCTGTCTCTGGTGAATCAAACTGAGTGGTTGTCCTGCAGCTACAACTGCAACTTTTGTTTTGTTTCATCTACCAGTGTGAAGTCCTTCACAACACTAAAAGCCATATTTGTAATAGTTGATATTGCACAAAATTAACAGGTAAGTCTCATGTCCTCTAAAAGCCTTCCTCTTTAACTACTATTCAGTAGAGATGTTT